CCCCAAAATCCTCCCGGGACCCCCAAAATCCCCCCCTGGACCCCCAAAATCCACCCGGGACCCCCAAATCCCGCCCCTCCCCCACCTCGGGGGGTTCCGGGAGCTTCCCGCGCGTTGGGCTTGGCCACGCCCCGGGCCACGCCCCCTGGGCGGGGTTATGCAAATGAGCTGTGGGGTCACAGCGCCCCCTGTCGGTGTCCGCCGGGATCGCGCATGCGCAGTGGAAACAGAAGGGAAATGGCCCCGAAATGTTCCGAAATGTCCCGAAATCGCCCGAAATGTTACGAAATTGCCCGAAATTGACCGAAATTGCCCGAAATTGCCCGAAATGACCCCAAATGTTCCGAAATGGCCCCAAAATGTCCCCAAAATGTCCTAAAATGTCCCCAGATGTTCCGAAATGTCCCAAAATTGCCCCAAAATGTCCAAAAAATGTCCCGAAATGTCCCCAAAATGGTCCCAAATGTCCCCAAAATGGTCCCAAACAGCCCCAAAATGGCCCCAAATGTCCCAAAATGTCCCTAAAATTCCACTAAATGTTCCCAAAACGTCCCCAAAATGATCCCAAAATGTCCCCAGAACCGCCCTAAATAATCAAAAGGCCCTAAAAATGTTCCCAAATGCCTCAAAAATTTCCCCAAATGTCCCCAAAATGTCCCCAAAAGTTCCCAAATTGTCCCCAAACTGTCCCCAAATGTCCCCAAAACAGCTCTAAATGTCCCAGAGGACCCCAAAATTATCCCAAAACGTCCCTAGAATGGCTCCAAATGTCCCAAATGTCCCAAAAATGAACCCAAAATGTCCCCAAATGGCCCCAAATGTGGCTAAAATGCCCCAAAATGTCCCCAAATGTCCCCAAAATTGGGAATTTCCCCCCCCTCGGAGTCACCTGGAGGAATTTGGGCTCCCGGAATTCCCGAATTCCCGGAACTTCCCGGAGTTCCAAAGTCCGGCCGGGGACCGGGAATGTTTGGATGACCCCGGTGACCCCCCCGGGGGGAGGAAAATCGGGATAGAAACCCAAAAAAATGGGAATTTTGGGATCTGGGAATGGGAAATCGGGATAGAAACCCAAAAAAATGGGAATTTTGGGATCTGGGAATGGGAAATCGGGATTGAAACCCAAAAAAATGGGAATTTTGGGACATGGGAATGGGAAATCGGGATTGAAACCCAAAAAAATGGGAATTTTGGGATCTGGGAATGGAAATTTGGGATTGAAACCCAAAAAATGGGAATTTTGGGATCTGGGAAATGGGAATTTGGGATTGAAACCCAAAAAAAATGGGAATTTTGGGATCTGGGAAATGGGAATTTGGGATTGAAACCCAAAAAAATGGGAATTTTGGGATCTGGGAATGGAAATTTGGGGTTGGAAAACAGAAAATTGGGATGGAAGATCCAAAATTTGGGGTTGTAAACTGAAAAATTGGGATGGGGGAACCAAAAAATTGGGATTTGGGACTGGAAAATTGGGAATGGGAGCCAAAAATTGGAGCTGGAGATGAAAAAATTGGAATTAGGAACCGAAAATTGGGGTTGGGAACCGAAATTTGGGGTTGGAAACTGAAAAATTGGGATTGGGAGTCAAAAATTTGGGATCAGGAACTGGGAAATCGGGATTTGGAGCCAAAAAAATTGGGAATGAGAACTGGAAATTTGGGATTTGGGATCCAAAAATTGATTTTATTCCTTAGCATTTTATTAATATTTCATATTTAATTAACATTTCCTTAATTGCGATGGATTTTCCTTTCCCTTTATGTTTAATTAGCGTTGATTAGCATTAATTAGCGTTAATTAGCGTTAATTAACTCCCTGGTCAGGAACTGCCCCCGAATTTTGGGAATTTTTTGGGATTATTTTGGAGCTTCCCAATTGATTTTTGGGGGATTTCTCCTCGTTTTGGGGAGGGGGGTCCAAGATGGGCTGGGGACACCTTGGGGACACCTTGGGGACACCTTGGGGACATCCTGGGGACACCTTGGGGGGTTGGGGACATCTTGGGGACATCCTGGGGGTTTGGGGACACCTGGGGACACCTTGGGGACACCTTGGGGACACCTCAGGGGGTTGGGGACACCTTGGGGACACCTTGGGGACATCTTGGGGACACCTTGGGGACACCTTGGGGACACCTCAGGGGGTTGGGGACACCTTGGGGACACCTTGGGGACATCTTGGGGACACCTTGGGGACACCTTGGGGACACCTCAGGGGGTTGGGGACACCTTGGGGACACCTTGGGGACACCTTGGGGGGTTGGGGACACCTTGGGGACACCTTGGGGACACCTTGGGGACACCTTGGGGGATTTGGGGACATTCTGGGGTCAGTCCAAGGGGGTTGGGGACACCCTGGAAGGGCTGGGGACACCCCAGGGGCCATCGGGGACACCCAGGTGACAACTGGGGACAGTTGGTGACAATGCCAGGTCAGATGGAGACGCTCTCCGGGACACACCTGGGGTCAGGTGACACCCAGGTGACACCCAGGTGACACTCAGTGACACTCAGGTGACACTCAGGTGACACTCAGGTGACAGTGATACTCAGGTGACACTCAGTGACACTCAGGTGACACTCAGTGACACTCAGGTGACACTCAGTGACACTCAGGTGACGCTCAGATGGAGATGCTCTCCTGCACACACCTGGGGTCCAGGTAGGGGTAGGGCAGGTCGAGCCGGGGTCAGGTGAGCTCAGGTGAGTTCAGGTGACACTCAGGTGACACTCAGTGACACTCAGGTGACACTCAGTGACACTCAGGTGACACTCAGGTCAGATGGAGATGCTCTCCTGCACACACCTGGGGTCCAGGTAGGGGTAGGGCAGGTCGAGCCGGGCGTTCCGGGCCCGGATCCGTCGGGAGATCCCGGCCAGGCGCGTCCGGAACGCGGCCAGGACACGGCCAGCGGCCGGAGCGGTCAGCAGGTCCTGGTGACGGGAGCCCAGGGGACGCTGGGGACATCGGGGGACATTGGGGACATCAGGGGGGACATTGGGGACA